ATATAATTTATTTATTTATAAATATTTTGGTTAGGATAAAGATTCTATTGAATGTACAATATTATAGTATTAAACTCGTTTTATTTTTTATAAAATTAAATAACAATATTACAAATTATAAGATGTTATTATACTATAAGTTGTATACTATTATTAATTATTTAGTTAAATAAAATTTCACAATTTGAACAAAATTCTTAAATTTAGAATTTGTTTTGGAATTCATTTTTTCACCCTTAATTTTCCATTATTGCCGCTTGATATGAACAGCGAACAAGCCCCAAGCGGTGACCGTCTTCTTTGCAGCGTGGTCTTAAAAAAACTGGTGGCATTTCTTCGCGCGTATGGCGAAGTACGCTCTAGGCTCCGAACCAGTGGTGGGTTCGTTAACTCCATTGAAGAAGAGGGAATACAAGGTCACCAACCGGCTCCAAGAGGGCAAAAGGCCTCTTTATGCTGTGGTTTTCAACTTCATCGACTCCCGTTACTTCAACGTCTTTGCCACTGTGGGCGGCAATCGGGTGAGTTGTTTGTATCTACCAAATCCCTCGACAATCTCACGCCGGTGTTCTATCTTTCAAGCATTTGGGTTTCAATTTCCTTATTGGTGTTTTCAGTTTGTGGGTTTTAGGGATATGTTTGAATGCTGCGTCAATTTTGTTTGTGTTTTGATTTCTCGGATTTTCATTTTCAATTGCGATGCTTGCGACATCTGCAGCTTCTGTGCTTTGGTTTGGCCAACTCAACGGTCATGGGTTTAGGTTAAGGATTCCGATGTATGTAAATTGAGGCTTACTGGACGAGAAATGGTGCTTGTTACTTTTCCTAATTTCTAATTTTCTGTTATCCTTTCTCATGTTGGTTCCTTTGCGTGCTAATTTCTATGACTTAATCTCCTCCATCCAATTGATGAATTTCAGACTTTGGCGTTGTTTTAACGATGCTTAATATTTTTGCAGGTTACAGTTTACCAATGTCTGGAAGGAGGCGTAATAGCTGTGTTGCAGTCTTACGTTGATGAAGATGTGAGTGACTGTGTTTTAGTTGAACCCCGGATGTATTTATATTCTCAAGTTACATTGAATCCCCCGTGTACTTTGTAGATCAGAAGGATGAGTCTTTTTACACTGTAAGCTGGGCATACAATGTTGATGGCTCTCCATTTGTCGTTGCTGGTGGAATCAACGGTATAATCCGTGTTATTGATGCTGGCAGTGAAAAGATATATAAGGTATTGTCTTGATCAGACCTTGATAATTTCCTTTTGCAATGAAGAGTAGGAAAATAGTTTTGTTTACATTTCAATAATGTGTATGCATAAGCATATAATTGGATTGGATAGTGTTTTTGCAATCCTGTTGCCTGATGGTGCAGTTGTGGGAGATTTCTTATTTCGCCCTCCATTTTTTCATATTGCTAATAAATCTCTTATTCAAAAAGAAAGAAAGGAAAAGTTGCTCGAGTTTCAATGAGTCCAAAAAGAAAGAAAGAAAAAATTGAAGATGTGAGGGGATGGACAAGCAATCCTGAATCCACTCAGTGAGCATTGAGCAGCTAAAACCAACATATGCAGAAGGAAAATAATTGAGATGGACGAACTATCCACTCAATGAGCAGCAAACTGCCAGCCTATACAGATGGGAAAGGGATAATCCATCAAATTTCAGGCACCCTCCAATTGGTAGATAAGGGAAAGGGAGGAAGGCTCATAAACATAATATTTGCATATTGTAGTCAGCTACTTGAACTTGCCTTAGAGTTTAGCTTGCACTGCTTACTAGTATTATTAGAATTATTCTTTGTGGTATGGAAACTTTTTTAATCATATGATTTATTTTCAGATATTTAACTTATTTCGAATACTTTGATCTGCTCATTCTTTGCAGAGTTTTGTTGGTCATGGCGATTCAATAAATGAGATCAGGACTCAGGCACTGAAACCATCACTTGTGGTCTCTGCAAGCAAAGTATAGCGCAAAACTATATCCTTATGAATTTTTTTGGATAAAATATAACCTTAGATTTTCTCTTCAAATTGCCTTGATTGATGGTTAAAAGTATCCAGGACGAATCTGTTCGTTTATGGAATGTTCATACAGGTATATGCATTTTGGTATTTGCTGGTGCAGGTGGTCACCGCAATGAAGTCTTAAGTGTGGTAAGGATAGACTGTATTCGTTTCTTTCCTCAACTTTTTTTCAGGTTGGGTTTGTAACGAAGGATCTTATGTATAAATTGTACTGACGTTATATTTTCTCTAGGATTTCCATCCATCAGATATTTATCGCATTGCGAGTTGTGGTATGGACAACACTGTAAAAATTTGGTCAATGAAAGGTATGGCATTCTGTTTTAGTTTTATGTATGATTAATAATTCAATGTCCTGGACAAGTAACTACATGTTTATGAAATCTTTGTTGAATTTTGATTTTACCAAAAAAAAAAATTGAAATATTTTGGAATGGTAATCGGATCTTCTTGGGATATCTCTCCTCATGCCCCGTGGCTTCGTTCCATCTGAATTCAAGCTTCTTGGTCATGAAATCGTTCAATATTGTCCAAGTTCAGTTTCTGTTGACCTAGCACTTGGTGGTAATCTTTTGTTTTGCTCGTTAATGCTTGCTTCAGAGTTCTGGACATACGTGGAGAAATCTTTTACCTGGACAGATCTTCCATCAAAATTTCCCACAAAGTATGTCCAATTTCCAGTAAGTATCATAATTTTTTATGTTGCAGATTGACATTTATCCTTCGAATCTACATTTACTTTGTTAATTCAGGTGTTCATAGCGTCAGTCCATTCGAACTATGTCGACTGCAATAGGTGGCTTGGTGATTTTATTCTTTCAAAGGTCAACAATCTTCCCTTTCACTGATAGTACTGTGTTTACCAGTTGTTTTAAATATGATTTGCATTTTTTTAAAATTTATTTTTATTTATGCATTCCAGAGTGTCGACAACGAAATAGTGTTGTGGGAACCTAAAATGAAGGAACAGTCACCTGGAGAGGTCTTATCCTGAACCTTATTTTATTTTTGGAATATCATTTTGTTGTATATTGTTATTGTCTATTCATGCCGAATATATCAAATTCTAAAAGTCTGAAAATTTACCGATGTTTCTTGTTTAGGGTACTGTGGATATTCTTCAAAAGTACCCTGTTCCTGAATGTGATATTTGGTTCATCAAGTTTTCCTGTGATTTCCATTATAACGCAGCTGCTATTGGTAATTCCATGCCATGTTTCCAAATGTTATAAGCAAACTACTCATACCAATTGCCAGGGGATTGCATCATAATTCTTATAATTTTTTTGACGGCTCTCTCTGGTTATTCTTTTTGTCCATCAGGAAATAGGGAAGGAAAAATTTTTGTGTGGGAACTACAGTCGAGCCCCCCAGCTCTCATTGCAAGGTTTGTTAGACTTTGTTTGTATTTTGATGGCGTTGGTGTGTTACTTGACGACTCAAAGTTTTCGCATTCGTTTTCTTGTCTAGGCTGTCTCATGCCCAGTCCAAGTCTCCCATCAGACAAACAGCCATGTCCTTTGATGGAAGGTAATTTTCATGCCCCTTAATTTCAGTCGATATCGAAACATGGCTAAAAATAAAACTCCTCATCTCTTTGCATCAGTATAATTCTGAGTTGCTGTGAAGACGGGACAATTTGGCGCTGGGACGTTATGACAACCACTTCCACTTGAGCCATCTAGAACATGTACAGGGAACTTCACCAAAGCTCATTTTGCATCCAATTAGTAACTAGTTGATTATCTGTTCTGTTAGGATTATTTGGTGATTTCTGGAAGAAGGAAAACCAACTTACCTGCTTATGAACTGGAAATTTTCTATTAATACATTACATGTTGCTGAATTAGACTGTCATGACCTTTTTTTCTACCATATTACATGTTGATTTGTTTTCTAGATTTAGATATATTTGACATTATTCCCCTAATGCAACTTGTAGTTTATGCAATCATGTAGCTTTTGCAAGTCGAGGCACTTTCGAAATCAAAATAGAATAATTTTGAAGATTCAAGGACCAAAAAAAATGAGATTATAATATAAGAATGCTCCCAAATAACTGCTGGATGTAAATTTCTAAATTTGCATGTCCTCTAATAACAATTGATACAGATTCGAATTACTTTTATAGCTTCTCTATAAACATCCAATGGTATAAAACTATTGGTCACATTGACACATTAATATACATACTTGAGATCGTGGTTTTTTTTGTATAATATATAGGAGTGAAGATTTGAACTCACAATCTCTTGGCCGGAGATAAGTGCTTTAAAAAAGTTCTGTCTATGGAGCCTAAAGCTTCAACCATGGCATGACAGCAGTAAGTGGGCTTAGGTAGTCTTTGCCCAGTCTTCGCCTTCTTCAGTGGCCAAGTTGAAGAGTTCAACATTGGCCTACCACCTTTCTTTTTTACGGTTGAGCTTCTTTAGTTCAAAAAGGTAGTGTCTTTTCCTGGTTGACCATACTTGAAGGCATGTTATTAATTTGTTAAAATCAAAATAAGAGTAAAAGATCGAAATGATTATTTTTTTTAAAATTTAGAGGTTAAAATAGACATTTTGAAAGTTTAGAGATCAAAATGAAACAAATCTAAAAGTTCAATGACCTAAGTAAAATAATTTTCAAGATTTAAGGACCAAAGTCATAACAATATTCCTTGATAAGCATTGGATGCATATTTGAAAATCAACATGACCTCTAATAATCGCACCACACACCTCGATACCTAAGTTAAATAAATGGCTCGATTGAGGTAGGATGTACTCGACGCTTGTTTAAAGGGAATTTTCCAAAGTTGGTTCGAATGGACCTATTTGATTAGGTCTAATCCAGTCTAGTCGATCGACTTGATCCACGTCGCTTCCTTGGTTCGGAGAAAAAGTTTCTGTTGTCTCTACTCCATAGCCCCTCCCATTCTCTGGTTACTCTATAGGCTGTAGCCTCAATACAAACAGACATCCGCAGGCGCTGGGTCCATACGAGTCCCACATTCGCAATGTCCCCACGACACTTGTCCTTCCTCAACTCCCATGGAAGCTCGATTGCTTCCATTCAAAGCTTCTGCCATGCATGGCGGACCTTCAATTTCACTTTTTCTTTTTCCTTTCTATCCCTGTTCCGCCATAGACGAGCATTGGGACGGGTTTTATTGCGATGGAGTCGGAACCAGAGATCGATGGGGCCATTTCTTCGGGCGACGACGAGCTTCTTCAGGTAATCATATGCCCCTCGCTTTAATCATGCTCTTTGCTTTGGCTTTACTTCATATTTGCTTTTTCATGATTTTTTCATCCAGTGTCGCACTTAGGTCAATTCAGGCTATGATTGTCCTTTCCTTCTCTCTCTAAAAGTTGGTTTTTATCGCTGGCTCTCGACTGTTCGAGGAGGTGAATTAATAAGTAATGCCAATGGACTGGACTGTCTTTCGTTCTATTATAAGATACAGGTGAAATCATTTTTGGTCAACTTGTCCTTTTTTAAGTTCTTTTTTGGTCCAAAAAAGTTGCAGAGAGTTGGTCCATAGACGCATCGATATCGATTTAGTTACTATAGTTTAAAATTTGTAACAATTTAGTTCATGCTCGAAAAATTCCATTGAGATCACTGAGGGACCAAAAATTTTTTTTAATCTATAGGGACTAAATTATTGCATATTAAAGATTTTTACTTCATTTTCACGAGTAAATCCCACTAAGATGCAACAGAGGTTTCTTACCTATGCACATCGATAAATCACTTAGGATCAATTGTGTTTTTAAACAATAGGGGACTTCATGATTGCAGATCCTTACTCCGTATTGATGAGTAAATCCTATTAAGATGTAACCGAGGTTTCTGAACTTTGTAGATTGATAGATAACTATAAAGACTAAATGGTTGTATATTAAAGATTATTACATCTAACTATATGGACCAAACTATTACGTACTAAAATTTAAAGACTAAAATATTATAAATATTGATGACCACCTACCTTAGGAATTACTATGTGTTTCCTGAGATTAGTAAAGATGCGCGCAAGCTGACCTGGACACTCACGGATATATAAAAAAATGTTATAAACCTTAAACCGTAGAGACTAAATTGTTAACTACTTCAATGAAATAAAAGTACAAGTAGCATATGTGTTTTTAAACTTTGTTGTTTTCTTGGTTTCTTCTAATGTAGGTGGTCTGTTTTTTTAACACAATTTGTGAAGAATTATTTGAAATGTCTTTATAAACTCACCTGATCACAACTTTGTAGAACAGTTCCTAAAAAGCCATTTTGATAAAATCTCTTTCAAACAATACAAAACCAAGGTCATTTGTTTTTTCCCTTTTATTTTCTACCAAACCTGAAGGAAATGGGGAAGAAATAAGACCTAAAAATAAAAGAAAAAGAGAAAATATACATGTTCTAAGGTCATTGACTGTCATTATTAACCATCCTCATCTAAACTCAAGATTTTATCTTCATCAAAAGTCAAATTTGCTACAGGGACTTTTATCCATATATTTTAATCTATAATGCTACATCTTTGGTGGCTTTTGATATGTAATTTATTTAGCTTAACTTTGATATTGGGATGGGCTTTTTATAAAGCTAATAGTGCCTAAAATGTTGCAAAAGGTAGCAGATCTACATCAGTTGGAGAATGGCCAAGAAAGGTTTCAGAGTTCATATACAGAAGAAGCTGCCTTGGCTGATCAAAATGATAAAACAACACCAAAAGGAAGAAGAATTGGTGGGTGGAATTGTGGGATGCTGCTTCTAGGTAAACAAAACTCTTTTTTGGTGATCATATTATAAACTGAGAATCCCAACCAATTTTTGCATCTCAAGTCCACATTTTCATTCTCTAAGATATCGGTGGATAAGATTACCGTTTCCAGATTGTTTCTAACTTATGAGTAACATATGTTGATGATCTTATAACTTGAGAGAATTAAGCCAACATTTTGATTCTCCCAAGTGTTGTTTAGTAATGTTCCTATTTTTCATTTTCAAGTTTTGAGAAACACAAGTGTCAGACACTAACTTTACACGTTAACCAAACATGCTCTGAATTTCCGTTATACGTGCATGTGTGTGTGTATTTTGCAGTGAATCAAGGATTGGTGACACTGGCATATGCTGGAGTTGAAGTGAATTTGGTTCTGTTTTCAAAGTCAGTGCTGAGGCAAACCAATGCTGAGGCAGCAAATACATTCAGCAGATGGATGGGAACCACTTATTGCTTCTCTCTATTGGGCGCATTTCTCAGTGACTCGTACTTGGGAAGATATCTCACTTGTATCATTTTTCAGCTTATTTTCATTGTTGTAAGTGAGCTTCTTCTCCTGTTCTCAAAATTTTCCCGTCATCTTGGACGGTATCTCCAAACATCCCAAGTCCTTACCATCAAAACGCCTCGTTGGATAACTTGAAATTTTGAACTTTTTTCTCGAATGTAGGTTATGAACCAAAGAAATAGTTAACAAATTAGCTTAGAAAACTAATAACAAAATCTTTGTCAAATCAGATTAAGGTTACAAGATTTTTTAGCAAATGGTAGCGTTTGCTATATATACTAAATTTGTGCTCTCTTTCTGCAGGGTCTGATAGCACTTTCCTTATTAACTCACATATCTCTGCTCAAACCCAATGGTTGTGGCAAAATAGGCCAATTATGCGACCCTCATGGCTTAACCGAACTCTCGATATTTTACATATCGATCTATCTAATCGCCCTAGGAAACGGAGCCCCCGAGCCGGCACTAGCTACATTCGGTGCAGAGCAGTTCGACGACAAAGATCCCAAGGAAAACCGAGCCAAGGCCTCGTTCTACAGCTACTTCTATGTGTCTATAAACATGGGTTGTTTGTTTTCAGAGACAGTTTTGGTTTATATGGAGAACTTGGGGCATTGGAAGGTGGGGTTTTGGATATGTGGTGGGTCTGCATTGCTTGGATATATTTTGTTATTGAGTGGAAGTTCAAGGTATAGACAGTCAAAACCTTGTGGAAATCCTATATCAAGATTCTCTCAGGTTGTAATGGCTTCTATGAAGAAGATGAATCTTCCAATGCCTTCAAATGGAGAAGGCCTTTATGAAGGACTTGGGAAAGAGGCTACAAGAAGAATGCTACACACTGAAGGCTTCAAGTAAGTAGGATTTTTTTAATTTCACTTTTCATGTCATTAAAGTGTCGGTAATGTTCATGTTTCTGTTTCTTATTTTTTATTTTTGTCTCTGAGTCATTTCTTAAAATAAGAAATGTATTCGAAATTTGAATTTTGGAAATGACAAATTAAGAGGATAATCCTTCCGTTTTTAATTTTTAAAAATTAAGCTTAGAAGCATTATTTTTGTTTCTACTCCTGAAAACGTTTTTAAAATATAAGTCAAATTTTGAAAGCTAAAAAAAAAGTTTTTTTTATAACTTATTTTTGTTTTTGAAATTTGGCTAAAGAGTTCAATTTGAGTGATAAGCACAATTAAAAAAATGGAAAACAAATAAATATAATATAAAAATTTTAAATGTTTAATTTGGAATTAATTTTCATATAAAACTTTTATTTTTATTTTTTTATTAAAAATTTTAGAGAACCAATGTTTACGCTTCTTTTTTCATAATTAAAAAACAAAAAAACAAAAACAGCTGCCTAATGTTCTTCTATTTTTCTTATTTATAAAATGAAACAATAAACAAAGAAATGAAAAAGTAGAGATGTGAAAGTTATCAAAGACTTAAATTACAAGTTTGGTCGTTAGAGTTGTAGCTCCAATAATTTAAAAAGTTTCTAGTAACCCCAAAATTAAATAGGAAAAATTTCCTAAAAAAAAAAAAAAACTAAATAGGAAAATTTTTTTTGCACTTATTAATGATTACTTCTTCGAATTCTTCCTATGAGTGAAGACATAAGAGTCAAGTGCTAACTTGAAAATTTTTGATAGATGAACTTTTATTTTAGTTTTTGAAATAATGCAGATTTTTGGACAGAGCAGCCATTCTTACAGCAGAGGAGATGAACTTGATATGGAACCAAGGTCAAACTCCAAATCCCTGGCAAATTTGCTGTGTCTCTCAGGTTGAGGAAGTCAAATGCATTTTGAGGCTTCTTCCAGTCTGGTTCTGCACTATTTTCTCCTCTGTTGTGTTCATTCAAATGCTTTCCCTTTTTGTTGAACAAGGAGCTTCCATGGACACTGTCGTCTCGAACTTCCACATCCCTCCGGCCAGCATGACCGCATTTGACATCGTAAGCACGACGCTCTTCATCATGCTCTATGACAGACTCCTTGTTCCTATATACATCAGAATCGCGAAACGAAGGCCGAAACCACCAAATGAGCTGCAAAGGATTGGGATTGGCCTAGCCATTGCGATAGTAGCGCTTGTAATTGCAGGCTTCGTCGAGCAAAAACGGTTGAGGCATGCAAGCATCAGTGGCGAAGAAACAAGTTCTTTAAGTATCTTTTGGCAAACGCCACAATACGTACTCGTGGGGGTCTCCGAAGCATTTGTCTACGTAGCTCAGATGGATTTTTTTGCATCGCAAACACCGGATGGGTTGAAAAGCTTGGGAATGGGACTGTCAATGTCTTCAACAGCAATGGGGAGTTACCTTGCAAGCATGATTCTAACAATAGTAATGGCTGTCACAGAAACTAATGGCAAGCCGGGTTGGGTTCCTCCGAACCTGAACGACGGTCATTTGGACAGATTTTTCTTCCTATCGGCTGCTCTGACTGCTCTTAACTTGGCCTTTTACGTCATCTGTGCCAAACGGTACAAGGGTTCGACAACGGAGAAGCAAGACGGAGACCGGGAAGAGGAGCTTGATAGAGAGTTCAAGTGAGACGAACCCCTTTCTTGATAGTAGGAAACTTGCAGGGAACAATAGTGTTGAGAGACAGCATAAAATCTTATCAAAGATTTCTTTGCTTGCAGACAGGGAGTGGACAAACAGGTTTGACGAGAATATAAGCTGCAAGATCTTATTTGAAATATTACAAGTTCAAAAGACTTGAAAAAAAATGTCTACGAAGTTAACTTCTAATTTTCTACCTAATAAGCTTTTGAATTTTAAGGACCTACTGGTTTTTTGTCTTTTCGGAGTAGAGAAACCTTGCTCGTAGCTCCCTATTGATATAAAAAGGGATGAAGGATGAAAGAAAAAATAAGAAGCAAGTCTTGAGGGAGTAAAGAACCACCGTTAAGTGGTTCTGCGCCAAGTGCGATCGATTGTCCTTCCTTTATAGATTTGTCTACCGTAACTCCACTCAACCAACAAAGTTCATTCCATACTCAAAGTGGAGTTACCGTACAAACTTGAATATTTATAAAAACGAAGGGGGAAGAGTTTTGACTGAAGCCAAAAGGTATCTTAAAGGAATGGTAGCACCACAATCTACCTCGACGCGGCTATCATAAATGGTTCCGACAACAGTGGCGTATGCAGGTTTGGGATAATCTTCAATCTTTTTTTCTCTCTTTTTTTCTTAATTTTCCTCTCTCTATTTTCTTTATGAAACTCCCTCTCGAAAGGAGGAGTTTGAGTCGATTAAGTCTAACTCATCTTTGGTTCCTTGTAGACCAAATCAATTTTTATTTTCTATTTATCTTTTATCTCTTTCTCTCCCATTGAAAATTTCATCATCTTATTAGTTTGTTTTTTCAACTTTTGGTTCACTCAATGGTATGTGTGGAGGCTTGAAGTAACAATAGATCCAAAGTAATTTTCAAATTGCATTTATGAATAGTTTTTAAATAAGTATTATCTAAAAGTATTCACTTTGTAATAGAATAATTTGTCAAATAAAACATTAAAGTCTCGTTATAATTATTTCTGTTTTTTGTTTTGGTTTTTCTGTTTTTAGTTTTTGGTTTTTTGGAAACAAAAAACATATATTTTTTATAACCATTTTTTGTTTTTTGTTCTTAAAAATAGGAAACCAAACGTGTTTGGTAACAATTTTTAGTTTTTTATTTTTAAAGAGTTAGAAAATTAAAAATACATATTAGAGATAGAAAATGATGTGTAGAGTAGAAATGACAATAGTGTAAGTGTGAATGAGGATGCTCTCTCCTATTCTCGTGCTCGCAAAAATATTTAATCCTCGTCGACCCCTCGTTCTTTGGTGTTCTCGAGAAAAATTATCGATTTTATAATTAATTTTAATTATTTTTAGAATTAAAATAAAAAAGTGTAATAAATATATATTAGTTAGTTATAAAATGGAATCGGGAATGAAATCGAGACATGCATTTCCTATCTTCGAGCGAGACCCGACCCTGCAAAATTTTTTGTCATCCCTAATGTAGAAACATGAAAATACAAATTTAAAAAGATTGTAAATAAACTTTTGGAAGATAAATTTTACAGAGATAAAAAAAATGATTTAGAAAAAAATGAGTGAAAGGAAAGTTAAAAGAAAAAGAGAAAATTTTCAGAGAAAAAAGGTAAAGTTGAGGGGAAAAGATATGTTAAGTTGAGAGGAAAAGATATGTTAAAAAGAAAGAGAAAAATTATAGTGGAAAAAAATTTAGAAATAAAAAACAAGATTCAAAATATAATTTTTAGAGAAAATAAACACGAAGAGAAATAAAAGTTACCACCAAAGAAAATTGAACAAGAAAAGAAGATATAATTTTAAGAGGAAAAATAGATTAGAAGAGAGAAAAGTTATAATTAAAGAAATTTTAGGGAGAAAAAATTCAAAAAAATATTAAACTTTTAGAGAAGTATACAGCCGATCTATTAGAACAAAAATGAATAAATAAATAAAAATACATATAGATGAAAATTTTGGAAAGAGAGACATGATAACAAATATTCAAACTATGAAAATTTTAGAGAGAAATAAATTTTGTAGAAAGGAAAAAAATCAGAATAAGAAAGAAATGTTTTAGAGATAAATATGAGAAAGAAAATAAAAAGTTGAGTATTAGAAGAAAAAATTCAATTTTAAAAAACAGAAATCTATTTTTGAAAAAATATATATAAATATATATAGAATTTCATAATGGTTTTTGAGAAAAAAAAATTGAATTAATTATAAACAACATTTAAAAAAAAAACCAAAAACAGGAAACGAAAAGATTATCAAATAGACCCTAAAAAAATCGAAAATCAAATTTTAAATATTTTACCATATTTGCAAAATCCACAAACTATTGTTGTATTTACAAATATGACAAATATTTTAACCTTCCATTATTAATTCCCGAAAAAGCATCAAAATGTTCAAATCTCTAACGAAAAGGAAAACAAAAGTACGAAATTGTTAATTTAATTTTTTTCCACAACTATTCAAACATGGATGCTATTAAATAAGCTACTAATGTCTTCACCATCGGCATATTTTTTATACAGAAATCCTATGTTGAATGTTCCTAAGAAGTTTCAATATCCTACAGCATTTTACCAGAAAACCCAAAATTCACAAGTCAGAAGATCAAGCTAGTTGGACCCGAATGGATAGAACCCGAACACAAACACTAATTGTGCATTGAAAAATATATATAAAAGATATAAGAACTACAATATCTCCCGAGTAATTCGAAGTACTTGGACTCTTCCCTCTCTTGAGTATTCTTACTCAGGCCTGAACCGTATTAACCAATTGCCTACCTTCCTCCTTTTATAACTAAATCTCCTAACACAATTACCAATATACCCTTAATACCCTAACAATATCCCTAATCTATCCTAATAACAATCCTATCATTTTCTTGACAATGTGAATATCCAAAAGCTTTGTTAAGTTACTCACAGTTCTTAATAAAACCTTCAAACAGCCACCATGTTTTTCCCAGGGCTTCAGATCCATGAATGAGAGATATGCCATCATCATCTATCTGTACTCAAAACTTGGAACAATTGCAAACTCAAGTTAATGGAATTTGAAGATATACAGCCATGAATGTGCTAATAAAATATATGCAATACATTTTCTAAAAATAAAGGGAAGAAGTTATGTAACCCAAAAATATCATCCATTTCATATTTAAAAGAATCCAAGAAAAGACCCATGGAAAGCCCAGCCTTCCAGTAATTGAACATCGTTATTAGGCCCTTAATCTTGTTCAAGAGAGGAAGAGAAGCCCTATACATGAGGGCCCCAATCCCCTCCACAACAACCACAGCCAATGCAGCAGATAGAACATCCCAGTCACCTGTTTGACCAATAACAGTAGCAAATGCAGTTGCACTGTAAAACCCAACCAAGAAGAAGAATATCTTCAATGGAAGATTTTTTCTTAACTCGTTAATTTTGGCGTCCAACTTGGTTTGAATGGCTTGAATGATCCTTATCAGTCTCGTTCCACCGTTGGAGCTATTTGGAGGAGGATCGAATGGACTCCCTTCCACACTGCTCCTAATAGACAGAGCCATCTTCCTGAACCACGTAGATTTTTTTCAAATTACAAACATAGACTATAGTTTCATAATGCAATTTCTTTCCAACTATAACTGAGCATGGTTTACTAGTTAACTCCTATGAGGATACAAAGATTATTCGTAGGATGTCGTGCCTTCCATTCCCTTTGAGATGAATCTTTAAGCATACAATCATTATTTTCATGCCTTCAATAGTCAACTCCTATTAGGATAGGAGAATTTTCGTTATATGCTTCATGACAAACATATAGAGTACAATCTGGATAACACGGTGACTGAGATATGCAGAAAAGGCAGAAAACAGGAAGTTGTTTGACTAACTTTGTAATTTTCATTTCTTGAACAACTTGGAAGTTGAGCGGAATCATCGATACATCAAATTAAATAATTCAATGCTCAAAACACGATAAAGAATTGCATAACTGACCTAGAGCCTAGAAACTACAGCCACCTTAAGTAAACAATAGGACGTATAGAACATCCCCATTATGTGGTAACTCACTTGAAGTTCTTTAGTACTGAAGGCTTGGCCACAGAAAAGGAATAGCACTGATGGTGGTGTTTCCCACAAAACACATGAGTATCGTAAAAGCATTCTGCGAGCCCTGGGACAGACAGTCTTGATGTCACGCCCTTCGGAGATTGCAGCATAATAGTTCTTGGGTAGGTGGATAACCTCATTGGAGTTTCCATTACATTATCTTGAACTGCAAGCAGTATTCAAATAATTTTATTGATGGGCAGTTATTATGATGACAACCATGAGTGAAAATTCTTACAAGAATTCAAGTAGGGAATGCAATACACTAACAGTACTCATTTATGCATGATCTTAAAATCAACTAAGTTACCATATATTATAGTTCTACTGGCTTTGATTCTCCCTCGAAAGGAGGAAAAAATGAACACACGATTCAATAGTTTCATATGTTTTCAAGTGCTGTTTGGAGTTGCCAGTTTATTCATCCCATCACCCCTTCCTTCATCAGATGGAAATTGTCTCTATAAATTATCTAGAAACTCTATTTATTTAATTTGGATTTGCTCTGCTGTATAGCCTTGTGAGCATGAACCAAACAACTTAACTGTTAGTAACAGTAAGAAAATGGTTCAGCAGGGACAATAGAACTCAGTATCTATTCACACAATTCCGTCAGAATCTTTCCTGTCAGCAAACATTTTGATTGCCATAAATCTTCTAGCCATAAACCTTCCTACGTTTTTGTTGGTTAACTCACTCTACAACTACAAGTTTATTTTAAGTTGGTTTTCTAGGGAAGTTGAGATTAAGTTGCCTCTTTTGTGGAGCTAGTAGTTTCTTTCTATGTGAAATTAGTTGAGTCTATTTTTCGACCTAGAGTGTATATTTATATGGACAACTATGGAATGAATAACACCTTCCCATTTTCTCATTTCTCTCTCAATTCTCTCTCAATAATAAGAACTACAGTTTTCTAAAATAAACACTGAAATACAATGATTCAGTGTCAATATTCAATGCTTTAACCAAATTTCAACGAACCTAAGTACAATTATATCAATCAAACAACAGTTCGTAAATAGGGAGAAATTAGAGAAATCTTAATAGATAATGACTACAAAATCATGAAATAGGTTGAAGAACGTGCTTACCAATCAATGTCCGAGCCCTGTACCCCCTTCAATTTGAAGACCAAAAGAAGCCTCTCGAATTATCTCTCACTTTGCTTCCATGGATCTTTGGCTGCTGGAATTGTTTGTTCCTTCCTTGAATTTCATGGACGTATTTCCTTCAATCGGCCTTGGCACGCTCAAGCCATGGGGCAGATTTTGGCGCCGTACCTCAGACACCAGATAGACAATCATCGATCATCGATCATCTTCTGTTAATCTTTACTCAAAAAAGTTATGCTTCTTCACCTACTTCTGCTTGTAGGTATTCCCACCATTACTGTTAAACTCCACCGGGTTATCGTTATCCTATCCAATTGTACAATTATGACTTTAGTATTGAGTTTCTAATTGCTTCAAAGCGTATGTTTTACAGATGTGAAATAAAACTAAAAGACTGAAATACAGATGAGAAATTCGGGAGAGAGAAGATAAAAAAATGCCAGTGAGCGTGAAAAAAAGGAAAAGAGGAATAAACTACGGCGAGCTTGAAAGCTACTGAGTTTGAAAAGCCAAAGAAAGTCAGGTAAAGAACAAAAATTCTCCAGAGAATCATATATTTATTATTTTCCGATCGAGTTCGAGTACGAGTCGCTCCTCGCAGGCAAAAAACCAAAAATCCAAAAACAATGACTACATTTCCATTCTTCACAGCTCTAATTACAAACGTCCAGGGCAAATCAACTTCAACCTACACCAATTGGCAGCGAGTAAACTCAAAAATTTCCAGCTAAGAAAGAAATCTTAAACTCGAAAATGCCAAACGATCTTTTACTGATCCAAACGCAAAAGCTAGGGGAAAAGACGAACAGCAATCATTCACTCCATTTTCTTTCGCAATCCCTCCGAATTGAGACAGAATCATGAAATGGAAATAGAAGAAGCAGAGAGTGGACACCGGAAACTTACTGATGAAGCGGCGGCGGCGACACTGAGTGAGACCGAGTCGGAGCAGAGTTGGGAGCGAGTTGGTGGAGCTGAGAATTTGTGGGAGTGAATGAATGTTGGTAGCAGAGGGAGCCAATAACATACGGAGAAATTGAGCTAAATGATCCAAATTTGACGGTGTAAATGAGATATGCCTTTTTTTAAATGTAATTTTACTTTTTTGTTAGATGGTATTTTTTTCTCACGAACTCTTAATTAGAATTACATGATAATTACCGTCAATAATTTTACCCATTTCACTCCATATTATTTCTTCATTGTTTTTTACTTTTTTTTTTTCTCTTCGTTAATTTTGGTGGGCAACTCAAAATCTTCAAAATTTATAGCTATATTTGCTCAGTAAATTTTATTCCATTTTTATTTATTAGTTGTTTCTTTATTTTTTTCTGTAAATTTTATTATAGTTTAATTTTTTTCACCTTAATTTTTTTCTTTTTTCTTTGGTCTCAAAGTCAAAATCTTGCTTTAATTTTATTTTCCGACTTGAAATACTCACTTTTCGTTTCTCTCTCGCGTTTTTCTTGATTAGTTTTTTCCCTTCTCTTCGTACCTCTACCTTCTGTAGTCCCGCCTCGAGTTTAAAAAAATAAAAAAGAAAAATAAGAAATTCCATAGAATTGTATTAATTTCACCCTAATTTATTATTTTTTTTAAGTAAAGTGCATTCAAAACAATCAGTTTGCACACACAAGATGAAGTTCGGCTTCCACCACTTGGAGAAGCCATTCAGGGTAATCAGAGAGCCACAAAAATGGTGGTTGCCTAATCATAGAAGATCTAGCGAGGGCTAACCGGACCTTCACCCTAAACTTTTAATTTCATTATTGAATCTTAATCTTAAATCTAGAAATGTTTTGATAATTTTAACTTTATCTTAAATCTTAAATCTAGATATGTTTTTGATAATTGTATTAATGAATGAATGTTGCCGCATTTGCTGATTGAGGGGAATTTTTAGTCTGGAAATTGATGTTTAATTTGTCAAGTGGAGTGCATATTGGGTTGTGGGCTCGTTTAGTAACGTTCTTGGGAACGACTAAAACAAATTTTTCCTTCCTTGTTCTCATTTCCAATTTGTTCCAAAACATAAATAAAAAGATTATTTTATCATAGTTGAATTCTTGGAGGTTAGAACCATGCAATGCAATTTTCTTTATTAAAAATAAAGAAACAAAAACAAGAAACGGAAATATTACCAAACGAACCCTAAATGACCAATAGCTTTCAAGGTAAATATTTGATTCAAGTGTGGAGATTAGGAGTTCTGTTTACATTACAGGACTATATGTTTCCTTTCCTTAATGAAAAATAAATCATTCCTGATTTTTGGGGGCTTTGGAAATTTGGGTAATGTTGAGAATATTGGTATTTTATTTTCTTTCTGAGGTGTTTCCTCCGTAAGTTTGAAATTGATAATGAATGTTTCTTGATATCCTGAAACTGAGAATTATCTTCTTATACAGATGGACAAGTATGAAGAGCAGGATCAATTGGTAGAGCCCTATTTGGAGAGCATAGTCTCCCCCTTTGACGTCTCTGCTTTGTTCAAAAACAACTTGGCCTTTTACGTCGTATGTGCCAAATGGTAACGGTACAAAGGTTCGACAGTGGAGAAGCCAGACGGAGACTAGGAAGAGGAGCTTGATAGAGAATTCAAGTAAGAAGAATCCCTTTTAAGATAGGAAACTTTTTTTTTCCTTAACGACGAGGAGTTAAAGCTTTGCTCACCTATACACAGGGGTAACCGCACTCACCCAAGGTTCAGACCCATGTTGGTATTGAACTCACCAGAAAGTTCGAACTTGAGACTTCTAAGCCAACATGATCAAGAAACTCCAAATCCTTACCAACCGAGCTACATAATATCAAGACAGCCTAAGATGTTATCAAAGACTTCTTTTAATTACAGACAGAGTGTAGACAAACAGGTTTAACAATAATATAATAAGCTGCAAGATCTTATTTCAAATATTGTTCTTCCGTTCTGAAACTCTAACTCTAAATATGTCTTTAGGTTAAATTACAAGTTCAAAAATTGAAGGGGTATATCTGATAAGTCCTAAACTTTAAAAAAATGTCTATCGGATTCCTAAACTTCTAACTTTGTGTCTAATAAGCTTATGAATTTTTAAAATGGTCTAATACATCCAGACATGTATTTAACCATAAATGCTCGTTAGAATCTGAACCAATGAAATTAAAAGAAAAGAAGAGATCCTGAACTGACTGGGAAGAACTCAAGCAAAAGGATTTTCAATGTATTCCACATGTATTGCACAGAAGAAAAGCTTGAAATGACCAAAATTATAAATACTACTCTCAAGTTCTTCAATGATTCCATCAACTTTTGAATGCTAAACCTTCCTATATAAAGATTAGGCCCCTAAACGAAAGGTCAGCATGTTGCCTGGAGTACAAAGATAAGACCCTATAATGTTCATCACTCAGTAGTGCACTAGTTACTGGGTGACTGAAATTTCCCTCAACTCAACAGTAGCAAGAATCCTAATGGATGAACCAGATAAGCTTTTTCACTTTGCTATCTTAGCTGTGAGTTCTCTTACCAGCTTAGCAGCAACCATGGCTGTCATCCCGTCGACGGTGTCTCGTTGAGGGTTGAACTCTACGACATCCGCACCAACGATATCCCCTTTGAGATTGTGGATGATGTTGAGAACATCACGGAAAGACAAACCTCCTGGCTCAATATGAGACACTCCAGGAGCAAATGCAGGATCGAGAGAATCGACGTCTATTGAAACGTAAACACCCTTTACGCCCTCTCCGAGTTTCTGTGTATGATGATATGACATGACAGAGAGTTAGGAAAGCAAACAATTTCTTGGAAGAGATATGCAGAGGACATCATGTTTTGAAGTTGAAGGGCAACTGTTTAGAGAATGGTTCGTGAAATAAGAAACGTAACATGCTTTATTTTCATCAAAATTTGTATTTACGTATTGAGAGAGAGAGAGACCAAATTTTCCAAATACTCGCGATCTCGTGAAAAAGTTCGCATTTCATACAGCTCCACTCCAAATCTTTTGCACTGGTCTCTTCCTTCTTGTGATATTGATCTTATGCCAACCTGAAAAACAATTACTCAAGTTCAGTAGAACATCAGTTTATCAATCTATGAGTGGCAGCAAGATTCTGGTTCTGAAGAGAGAGAGAGAACATGAATACGGCTTTCCAATACTGAAAATCTGAAACTTTGTTGCCAGCAAGGTCTATAAATAATTTCCTTTCAATATTGGGGTTCCACTCCTTGCGTTATACCCATAGCCTACCTCACTAATCTAGAGTAGACTTCACCAGCCCCAAACCGGACTCCAAGAGACAAGAAGTATCTTAGATCATTAAGTTTTCTACTAGGGGCTTGAACCTTAAACCTCAAAGTCTGTCTCCAACAGCTCAAACTCTTACCAGTTACTACCAACTAGTTGAACCCAATGAGGTTTAAGTAATGTAAAAAGGCTCTAACTATGGAGAAGTCATTAACAAAAACTAAAAATAGCAATTTCAAATTATCTAAGATCTTTTTTTTTCCACATTCCGTTGGTGAAAAGGAAGGAATACACATCCATGTAAAAATATGCAAAATCATAAAACAGTAAACACCCAACCGAACCCCCTATTTTTTACATAAGTTCGCTGATTCAAAACTAGTACCAAAATAAAGTAGTGATCCAAATGAGAAACACAAATACACAAAATTCATATTAAAAGAACACTTTAAAAGGAAAGAAACTTACCTGCAAAAGTCGCCTGGCATAACCACCTTCCATGATTCGTGCAAAAGAAGAAGCGTGCGAAAAATAGTTTCCTTCATAAGCATTATAATTATCAGGATGGGCATCTAGATGAAGAATATCAACTTGACCCCCAAGCTTCTCAGAGACAGCTCTGACAACAGGGTAAGATATGGAGTGGTCGCCTCCCAAAACCAATGGGCGTAATGGATCCTGAAGGAGCAAGATTCTAAATATAACCCTCTCAACCAATATGTTGGACAATAACCAAAGCCAAGAAACTACACATGTACGTACATGCATCAATGGTTCAACAAAAAACATCAACAAATAAGAAACAAAAGGCTTATAAAATCATGGCACTTTTTTTTTCTGGAAAGGAGACATTTAGATAGCAAGAACTCTAATGATGAGTTATCAAATAAACTACGAACAGTGTAATTCATATCTTTCTGATTACATACAAGGTTAACAATATCCCACACAGACAAAATAGGAAAACAAGATCTTTTTCACAACCAGCTTGACAGGCCCGTTAAATTAGTCATTGCAAACCTGAAACAAGAAAAAACGAAGAAGAAGAAGGAGGAGGAGGAGGAGGAGGAGGAGGAGGAGGAGGAGGAGGAGGAGAAAAGAATAAGAAGCTCTAGAGGAACTCACCTCTTCCATTACCAGCTTGACAGATTCGCTCACAACATTCATCAATCTTTCATCTTCTACACCACAGTCCCTGATCTCTTGGACAGGGACGTCACCAACATCAGTCAGCACTCTGGGGTCGGTTAGTTCTTTCCCTGAATTACAAAAGCATTGTCTTTCACTTGGCATGTGCATTACCAATAGATTTCAAAATTTCAACTAACATTATCTATTAGGCAAAGGAGGGTAGACAAAGAACTTTGTAGTCTTAATAAGTAGCCCAAATTTCAAATAAATGAATGCCCAGATGAAACAATACATGTCGAGAATTCCCTAGATTTCATAATTGGTTTCTTCAACTTGCCTGCTTCTGAAATCAGAATGCAGAACTAATACCTCTTCTTGTGATTAATTCTCCACTAATTATGAAAACTTTGTTCATGTGATTATTGATAGCTAATTTCCAAATCCTAAATATAAGATTCTGAAAAAATTATGATTTACCATCTACAAGAATAGAAAAGATGATAAGATGTCAATTTCAAGCAAGAGGATTATGCTACTATTAGTCTATTGCTATTCTATATTAAAAATAAACCAAATTTATTGCTATTCCATATTAAGCAAATGCTAAGTTCATTTTATGAAACTTCGAAGAGGCCTCAGGAGAGAACACCTTCTTCTGTAGTTGGATTTGTGCTCCCGCACCAGATGGCCTCCCTAATCCGAGGAGGTGCAAATGCTGGACCTTGAAGAAATGATGAGTTATGTCCCAAAGGAACTCCAAGAAGAGAAGCTGATGCTACAGCACCTCCTAAAGCACGTACGAGCTCACCCTGGGGAAACAAGTTCAAAAGATTTAATGCTGTAATTGGCTGCCTTCAAGCTTAAACATCAAAACTTGTGTTTTAGGAATTTAGTCTTAGGAATGACTAAATGTAGGGGTTTTTTTTTTTTTCTAACCAGGGTAGGAGGGCCCCATCCCTTGCATTATGTTCATGACCCACCCTCGCTGGTCCGGAGGCTTCACCCACTTAAGACCAACTTTGAGGCACCACAAGAGTTTAAAATTATCAAGTTTCCACTGGAAGGCTTGAACCCAAAACCTTAGAGAGAATTTGCAAATATCCCAGGCTAAGGACCACCAAACTGTGGGGTCGGAGCCATATAAAATTACCAGATTTACTGAAGAAACGTTGAGCAGCTTAATAAATTGATGAAATTTTAATAACTAGATGATATACCAAAAATATCAATTAAAGTTCTAAATAAATATCTGTACTTATTTCAATAAATTCTATATGTTTAACCATACAATTTAACCAGTTTTAAGTTATCTGGCATGTATATAATAGGAACCAAATCACAAGGAATCAGATGAATAGAAACATCGGAAATAAGAGAGAATTATTCTTTAGATGAGCATACCTTGAGCTTCGCTCTCTCTCGAATGAGTGTGAGAGAAGCTTCAATAACACGATTTTGACCCTTCTCAATCAATGCATTGGGAATGTTTGCAGAGTTCAGTTTATGAAAATAATGAATTCCTCGCCGTCCCAAAACTGACATTTCTGCACATGAAAATGGTATATGAGTATTAAAATTGGGCAATCAACTTCTAATTCAAAAGATCAGGGAAGACCAGCTTGATGCACCTAATGAGCTGAGATCGGCTATAATCATCTTGAAAAGAAAAGTTTATTAAACCCAAATTTATAATTCAAAATTCTAAAGTATAATAAATAACTTCTTTGCTTCGTAGAAGAGTGTTAAAAAAAATGGCCCCCTACCACTTATGTGGTAATACTGATCTTTTCAGTTTTTAAGATTTTCCAAATCACTGAATAACCCCCATAGTTCATCTTTACTCAAAAAAGTTATCCTTCTTCACCTACTTCTGCTTGTAGGTAGTTACCATTACTTGTTCAACTCCACCGGATTATCCTATCCAATTGTACAATTATAACTTCTAGTATTGGTTTTCTAATTGTTTCAAAGCTTACGTTTTACAGATGATAAATAAAATTAGACGACTGAAATACAGATGAGATATTTGGGAGAGAGGGGATAAAAAAGGCCAGTGACTGGAAAAGAAAAAAAGGGTATAAACTACGGTGAGCTTGAAAGCGAATGAGTTTGAAAAACAAAATATAGATTTTGGTTTGGGCGTCAAAACAACGTGCTTCCATAACCAAGCCCAAAAATAAATAAATAAATAAATATATATATATATATACATAGGGAGTTGGAGATCTGAGCTTGCAAGAGGACGAGGGAGGCGGAAGTGAGATGGTGACCACAGACCAAGCTCAACTTCAAGGGCAAAAAAGTCATTGTGATCGAAAGCGAAAGAAAATCAGGTAAAGAACAACAATTCTCCAGAGATTCATATATTTATTATTTCCTCGCAGGCAAAAAACAAAAAAAAATCCAAAAAACAGTGACTAGATTTCCATGCTTCACAGTTCAGATTACAAACAACCAGAGTGAATCAACTTCAATCTACACCAATTGGCAGCGAATAAACTCAAAAACTTCCAGCTAAGAAAGAAACCACCGAGTCGGAGAGAGAGCGAGCATAGTAAAACTCGAAAATTCGAAACGATCTTTCACTGATCCAAACGCAAAAGCTAGGCGAAAAGATGAACAGCAACCATTTCCTCCATTTTCTTTCACATTCCCTCCGAATTGAGACAGAATCATGCAATGGAAATAGAAAAAGCGAAGAGTGGACACCGGAAACTTACTGATGAAGCGGCGGCGGCACTGAGTGAGACCGAGTCGGAGCCGAGTCGGGAGCGAGTTGGTGGAGAGCTGAGAATTTGTGGGAGTGAACGAATGAATGTTGGAAACAGAGGGAGCCAATAAAATAAGGCATTAAACAGAGCACGGTTTCCCACTGCCGCCCCGTGACAGTAAAAATTAAAAAGTGTCCAATAATAATTTTTTTTCTTCAATTCTGGAATTTTAAATATTATTGTTTTCCTCGAGGGGAAAATTAATAAAATTTTCATAATTTTTGTTAAATGTAATAAAATAATGTATTGTTAACTGAATAATCAATTTATATTTGGTGAAAAAAAAATCTTTTGCCGTTTTAATTTCACGAGTTCTTTTAATTTTCATCGTAAATTTTTTCTTTGATCGAATTAAACCTTTTTCTTTTTTTCTTTTTTGAAGAAGATCGAATTAAACTTTATCTAGATATGCGTTGTACTTTTTATCCAATATTTCATTCCTATTAATTCACTAACTAATTTTAAAAAATGGTAAAAACTAAAAAAAAATTGTAATTTAATGAGAATCAAACTTTATACAAAATTAAATTCGTTAATGCACAAATTGATCGTTAAATAATTTTGCCAAAATTTATAAATTAAAAAAAACTAGTTCTAGAATATTGCAACGTCAACCGAACATTATTTAATTCATTAAGACATATACACTATCGAAGTTGGAAATTCTACAAACACGTGTTACTAAAAATATGTCATCCTACTTTTATACATTTGACTGCCCAAAATAAAACCATTAAATGTAACTTTTAAATATTTGTTTACATATATACATTTATTAATTAGATAAATTAACAAATAAGTGTTACAATAAATTTCTCTTAAATAGACTCCAAGTTTAGTTCATTTATCCAATAATATCTATCTAGGTAGTACGTTCATGCATATAAATTTGTTAATAAAGGAATAATGAATGATTTATCAACTTTTTCTTAGTAATTTCACAATTTTTATTTTTTTAATAAAATTTCCGAATTTTATGGTTGATGGAGTAAAGTAACGGACTTTTTTTCAAATAATTATTTTTCTAAAATACATGACAAAATTAGTGTAGGTTTCAAAGTAACTACAAAATTAGGATAGATAAATAGTAGGGATGGACTGTGATTTTAACAAAGTCGCAGGCGTGGACTGCGGTTTCAACCAAAATCGCAACCATCACCCGCGACTCATGACGAAATCACGATCATCAACTACAATTTTAGCCAAGTGGTTACGACTTCTCCTTGAGCCAATGCTGACAAAAGTCGCAACCCATTCTGACGCGTACAATGTTGAAGTCTCGTACGATGTAAAAACTGAAATAAAAAAAAAGGTGGATAATGTACATGACTTCAACGGAAAAAAAAAAGGAAGGTCGTACTTCTCAAGAAAGTTGCAGACATTACTTTTACTTTGACCTAATCTATTTATGTCTTGAAAATTATATTACCTTTAAATTTATTTATTTAAATTAATTTTTATTTTGTTATTATTTTTGTAATTAGATTTTTTTAAACTTTTGTCTGTACTCAGTTAGAATGTTTAATACATTAAAGATAAGTATGAGGTTTATTGCAAAATGGAACTTTTGAGAAATTTAATGATAATAATGGAATCTGAAACTATTATTTAAAGAAAAAGGATCAGATGCTTCGCTTTTTGGTTCGATGACAGACCCATTCTGTCAGCGATGACGTGGACATGGCCTTGCAAAAAGACAAATGCCATCACGCGCCTCGAGGAGCAACTTTCTCGCGTGTGCAAAAACAACTTTCTTGAAATAAGCCAGGCTACAGCCATACAGTTACACGCAAGTTACGGTTTCAAACTTAAAGAGGTAAGCAGATTTGGGCCCAATGGGCCACATTGCAGGTCCAGCCCATTTGTACCTCCTACAAAATTTCAGGCTAAATATTTGTTTGTCTTGTGATATTTTGGTTTTTCTTTTTCTCTAATCCTTATTATTTAATAAATTTTAGTTTTGTCTCAAAAATTTAAATTAATATATCCTATCAAATTTTTGTGCTTTTCAAATATATTCTCATGGTTGGTGAGTGTTTCGACTAAAAAGTTCTCTAATCTATCCTCCAAATTTCTGAATAGTTAAAAAAATTTTGAATTCTCTTATTTTAATTTACTTAATTTCTCATCTAAAATTTTACTATACATTCAAGTTTATCATTTTCATAACACGAGAAAAAAAAATTGATACATACGAGGAGTCTGTTGATGCAATACCACTCCAAACAAAATTTGATAAACACACTCGAATAAAAGATGGTCTCAAGTCTTAATCTCGTTATAAAATATTATAAAAATAAAAAATACGTAGGAGTATGCTTGCATGGTAGTATTTATATTTTAGTCGATTTTTTCCTTTATTATTTTTTTTAGTTCAACAATTGTGAGATGGGAGATCAAACCATCAACCTTTAAGATTGTATTGAGGTGTCTTGTCTATTTGAGCTATGCTCGATTTGAGATATTAATTTGTTGTTTTAAATCAACTATATAGGTATATTATTTCGCAGTTCAAAACTTACAAATGAGTAACAATTGACGTGGTCTATAAACGTGGATAGTCTTGAGATCTTTTAACAAAGCATTGACCTATTAGGTCGTGGAAATTTGTAGAGAGCTTAGCATATGCGATGGAGATAGAGTTTCTTTTATCTTGCAATTGAATCTAATTTCAGTAGGTTTGAAGATATTTCAAGAAAGTACATTCAGTGTTGACGGAGAAACGAGGACTCTGTGCCTGATACTGATATTTATCAAAGATTATTTGCATTGTGCTAAAAGAAAAAGGTTGTGGAACCTTGTCGAGCATTTTTATCAATTAAGAGTATATTTGAGGGTGACAGTAGAATTGATGATTTTGAAAAGAAAAAAAGACGGATAAAACTTCCCTAGCCCATCCTTTAGAAATTTCGTGGGAATCAGGGCAGAAATTTCATGTGGGAATTTTTTCTCTATTTATTTTTTTAAAATTATTTTTTCCAATAAAATATTTTTCATAAATATTTTTAACTAATTGCTTAATTTCTGATGATAAACATCATGTACATACTCTAATCCTCATATATATATACTGGACGAGTCTGTGGAGAAGAATATGATTTATTTAGTATATATATACACAAAAAAAGATTGTTTAAATATGTGTGTATATATAGAGTCAAAGAGAATATAGCTCAGCGGTAATCGACATATATCTTTAACCAAAAGATTGTGAGTTCGATTCCCCACCCTCACATGTTATACTAACAAAAACGCGTGTTATATATATATATATATATATATATATATATATATATATATATGGGAACGTATTTCTCCATCCCGCCCCCATTTACGTGGTGGAAAAAAAATTCATTTATCACTGCCTCGTAGGAAAAATATACATCTTGCATGCTAAATCCAAAGGTAAAAATTAATTTATTTCCATCTATTCTGAGTAGATATTTTATTTTTATTTAGATACAGAACATCGCATCAACAGCTCCGTTGTAGTCTAGTTGGTTAGGATACTCGGCTCTCACCCGAGAGACCCGGGTTCAAATCCCGGCAACGGAATTTTTATTTTTAACTTTTTAACAATTGTTTTAATTTTCTTTTCCTTTTTGGTGCGACTAGATTTTCAAGTTACATTTTCTGAGAGCTCAGTGAAGCGGGCGGGAACTCGAGCTTCTGCTTCTGTGGCCATGGCGGCAACAATCGGAGCAGCCCCAACGAAGGAGTTTGACGGAACAAAAACATACGACGACGATGACGAGCGCGAGTCCAAGGAGAGAGTTATCCACAAGTACTTCCTTCAAGAATGGAAGCTCGTCGACTCTATTCTCCACGATATTCTTTCCAATGGATGCGTCTCCGATATCTCATCCGTCCACAAGATCCGATCCATTGTAATCTCTCGCCTACTCTTTTCCATTGTGTGTACGGATCGCGTGCCGCATTTGCGGATTGAAAAGTTTCGTTTGGGGAATT